CGGCGTACTACCCGTTCACGACCACGGACCTGCGCGAACTCGAGGCGTGTGACCAGATGAACGAGCTCCTCGCCGAGCTCGAGATCCTCGACATGCAGGAAGAGCTCCACCGCAAGCTCTTTGACAAGTGTGTCTCGCTCCAGGAGAACCGCCGCAGCGTCGAGCCCATGGTGCAAAACATTTTGAAGCGCACGACCAAGACGGACAATGCCTTGTACCAGACGCAAAAGGCCAACAAGTCGATGCACTACAAGCTGACGCACCATGGCAAGAGCCCACGCTTTAGCCGCCAGATTTGCCAGCCGCGCGCGTCATATTAGACCTCGCGTCTCAACTCTGCGAGGAGCCAGCCACCCGACAAGACCAAAATATTTAAAAATTTCTAGCCACACAGGGAAGTAAGAGCCCTGTGTATTTTGTAGCAGTAATCGCCACAACCAACTTTAGGTGGTAAGCAGCAAAGAACCTCGCCCTCTTTTACATATCATTTTGGCAGTCGGTCCTCTCTGTGGAGGAGAATTGAGTTGCACGCTAGGCTGCCACGTCATGCCGCTCGCCGGCGGGATCGATGGATCAATCCGAGTGTGGTGGACTGGGACGAACCTGGGCGTCAGACGTCGCCACAGAACGTGTTGATCATGGTGAGTCGGCATAACCTTGACGAGCCGCCATCTTGGCTCCATGCCCAGAGCCATGTGCCCAATCCACGTTTACCGGTTAAGACAAACAACGAGTCAGCTGACAACGGCGTGCGTGTTGATGGCATAATATATCTACTACTGCGTAGTACGTGGCAGCGACTAAATAGGTGGTGATGGCGTTTACCGCGCGTGGATCTGGCGACCGCGCACATAGACGCTGGTGATGTTGCGGTCGTCGCCGACGAAAAGAAATTTCTGGAAACGATGCAGCGCGTCGTCGGTCGCATACTCGTCGACGGGGCTGTCGTCCGCATTGAGATCCACGACCAGCATGTCGAGGTCCTTGCCCGGCACAAAGTTGCCAACCTTGTCTTGGAGGTTGAGGACCTCGGCGCCACCGACGGTCGCAAGGTGGAAGGCTTCGGCGAACGTGAGCGGGTCTTCTTGTATCGCTTCTTCTTCACCGTCGCTGCTATGGCCCATGGCCACGAGCTTGGAGGCGATGACGGCATTCCGGACCGCATCCAGCATGGACGTCGTGTAGCCGGCCGAGACGTCCGTGCCGAGGCCGACCTTGAGGCCGTCGCGAAGGCAGCGACGCACGTTGAGGACGCCGCTCGTGAGTGAAAAGTTCGAGTTGGGGCAGTGGACAATGCCGGTGCCCGTCTCCTTGAGGAGCGCACGCTCGCTGCCGCTGCACCAAATGCAGTGCGCCATGTAGCTCCGGTCGTGGAGGAGCCCGTGGCGGTGGTACACGTCGGCGTAGCTGTCGCAGTCGGGATGGAGGTCCTTGACCCACGCGATTTCGTGCCGTTCTCGGAGAGGTGCGTACTGCACCGGCAACGGC